TCTTATGTTCTGTGTGTAAAAAAAAATCTGTGTAAAAAAAATTTAGTTGAGCAAAAGTAAAAAGTGGCGTGAACAGGAAGCACTCCAGTGGAGTACATATTGAACGGCTATAGTTCGATCCATTGGGACCTGGGTTGGGAAATGGAGAGTCGCTGTTCACGTCTGGACCAAATATGGAGGTTTCCTCCAGGTGCTCCGACATGTTCTCCCCGTGTCAGCGTGGGTTTCCTCCAGGTGCTCCGACATGTTCTCCCCGTGTCAGTGTGGGTTTCCTCCAGGTGCTCTGACATGTTCTCCCTGTGTCAGCGTGGGTTTCCTCCAGGTGCTCTGACATGTTCTCCCTGTGTCAGCGTGGGTTTCCTCCAGGTGCTCTGACATGTTCTCCCTGTGTCAGCGTGGGTTTCCTCCAGGTGCTCTGACATGTTCTCCCTGTGTCAGCGTGGGTTTCCTCCAGGTGCTCTGACATGTTCTCCCTGTGTCAGCGTGGGTTTCCTCCAGGTGCTCTGACATGTTCTCCCTGTGTCAGCGTGGGTTTCCTCCAGGTGCTCTGACATGTTCTCCCTGTGTCAGCGTGGGTTTCCTCCAGGTGCTCTGACATGTTCTCCCTGTGTCAGCGTGGGTTTCCTCCAGGTGCTCTGACATGTTCTCCCTGTGTCAGCGTGGGTTTCCTCCAGGTGCTCTGACATGTTCTCCCTGTGTCAGCGTGGGTTTCCTCCAGGTGCTCTGACATGTTCTCCCTGTGTCAGCGTGGGTTTCCTCCAGGTGCTCTGACATGTTCTCCCTGTGTCAGCGTGGGTTTCCTCCAGGTGCTCTGACATGTTCTCCCTGTGTCAGCGTGGGTTTCCTCCAGGTGCTCTGACATGTTCTCCCTGTGTCAGCGTGGGTTTCCTCCAGGTGCTCTGACATGTTCTCCCTGTGTCAGCGTGGGTTTCCTCCAGGTGCTCTGACATGTTCTCCCTGTGTCAGCGTGGGTTTCCTCCAGGTGCTCTGACATGTTCTCCCTGTGTCAGCGTGGGTTTCCTCCAGGTGCTCTGACATGTTCTCCCTGTGTCAGCGTGGGTTTCCTCCAGGTGCTCTGACATGTTCTCCCTGTGTCAGCGTGGGTTTCCTCCAGGTGCTCTGACATGTTCTCCCTGTGTCAGCGTGGGTTTCCTCCAGGTGCTCTGACATGTTCTCCCTGTGTCAGCGTGGGTTTCCTCCAGGTGCTCTGACATGTTCTCCCTGTGTCAGCGTGGGTTTCCTCCAGGTGCTCTGACATGTTCTCCCTGTGTCAGCGTGGGTTTCCTCCAGGTGCTCTGACATGTTCTCCCTGTGTCAGCGTGGGTTTCCTCCAGGTGCTCTGACATGTTCTCCCTGTGTCAGCGTGGGTTTCCTCCAGGTGCTCTGACATGTTCTCCCTGTGTCAGCGTGGGTTTCCTCCAGGTGCTCTGACATGTTCTCCCTGTGTCAGCGTGGGTTTCCTCCAGGTGCTCTGACATGTTCTCCCTGTGTCAGCGTGGGTTTCCTCCAGGTGCTCTGACATGTTCTCCCTGTGTCAGCGTGGGTTTCCTCCAGGTGCTCTGACATGTTCTCCCTGTGTCAGCGTGGGTTTCCTCCAGGTGCTCTGACATGTTCTCCCTGTGTCAGCGTGGGTTTCCTCCAGGTGCTCTGACATGTTCTCCCTGTGTCAGCGTGGGTTTCCTCCAGGTGCTCTGACATGTTCTCCCTGTGTCAGCGTGGGTTTCCTCCAGGTGCTCTGACATGTTCTCCCTGTGTCAGCGTGGGTTTCCTCCAGGTGCTCTGACATGTTCTCCCTGTGTCAGCGTGGGTTTCCTCCAGGTGCTCTGACATGTTCTCCCTGTGTCAGCGTGGGTTTCCTCCAGGTGCTCTGACATGTTCTCCCTGTGTCAGCGTGGGTTTCCTCCAGGTGCTCTGACATGTTCTCCCTGTGTCAGCGTGGGTTTCCTCCAGGTGCTCTGACATGTTCTCCCTGTGTCAGCGTGGGTTTCCTCCAGGTGCTCTGACATGTTCTCCCTGTGTCAGCGTGGGTTTCCTCCAGGTGCTCTGACATGTTCTCCCTGTGTCAGCGTGGGTTTCCTCCAGGTGCTCTGACATGTTCTCCCTGTGTCAGCGTGGGTTTCCTCCAGGTGCTCTGACATGTTCTCCCTGTGTCAGCGTGGGTTTCCTCCAGGTGCTCTGACATGTTCTCCCTGTGTCAGCGTGGGTTTCCTCCAGGTGCTCTGACATGTTCTCCCTGTGTCAGCGTGGGTTTCCTCCAGGTGCTCTGACATGTTCTCCCTGTGTCAGCGTGGGTTTCCTCCAGGTGCTCTGACATGTTCTCCCTGTGTCAGCGTGGGTTTCCTCCAGGTGCTCTGACATGTTCTCCCTGTGTCAGCGTGGGTTTCCTCCAGGTGCTCTGACATGTTCTCCCTGTGTCAGCGTGGGTTTCCTCCAGGTGCTCTGACATGTTCTCCCTGTGTCAGCGTGGGTTTCCTCCAGGTGCTCTGACATGTTCTCCCTGTGTCAGCGTGGGTTTCCTCCAGGTGCTCTGACATGTTCTCCCTGTGTCAGCGTGGGTTTCCTCCAGGTGCTCTGACATGTTCTCCCTGTGTCAGCGTGGGTTTCCTCCAGGTGCTCTGACATGTTCTCCCTGTGTCAGCGTGGGTTTCCTCCAGGTGCTCTGACATGTTCTCCCTGTGTCAGCGTGGGTTTCCTCCAGGTGCTCTGACATGTTCTCCCTGTGTCAGCGTGGGTTTCCTCCAGGTGCTCTGACATGTTCTCCCTGTGTCAGCGTGGGTTTCCTCCAGGTGCTCTGACATGTTCTCCCTGTGTCAGCGTGGGTTTCCTCCAGGTGCTCTGACATGTTCTCCCTGTGTCAGCGTGGGTTTCCTCCAGGTGCTCTGACATGTTCTCCCTGTGTCAGCGTGGGTTTCCTCCAGGTGCTCTGACATGTTCTCCCTGTGTCAGCGTGGGTTTCCTCCAGGTGCTCTGACATGTTCTCCCTGTGTCAGCGTGGGTTTCCTCCAGGTGCTCCGACATGTTCTCCCCGTGTCAGCGTGGGTTTCCTCCAGGTGCTCCGACATGTTCTCCCTGTGTCAGCGTGGGTTTCCTCCAGGTGCTCCGACATGTTCTCCCTGTGTCAGCGTGGGTTTCCTCCAGGTGCTCCGGCTTCCTCCCACAGTAAATTGTCCGTAGGTGTAGAGTTACAGTTGACCATCTCAGATGAAACTTGGCAGGCAGCCATTGAAAGAGTGCACAAGTCCTCACTTTGTGTGCGACATGGGTTACTCCAATTCAGTGTTCTTCACCGTCTGCATCTTTGTAGAAGTAGACCGGCCAAAATTTACCCTGACACAGATCCTACTTGTCAGAGATGCTTTGGCGCCCCAGCCACTTTGTCCCATATGTTTTTCTCATGTAAATCAGTTGCCCTCTTCTGGTCCTCTGTATCTGACACATTATCTCAAATGTTTGACGTTTTTCCAGACAACTTTTTATGTCGGGGCTTCAGGACACTTGGATCACTACGGACGAGCAGTATGGAGATATTTTGTGGTTTCAATTATGTGTTTTTGGACGTTTGAATCTGGGGCGCCGTCAGCCTCCATTAGGTGGAGTTGTGTTGCTACCTCCTCTCCCCTTGGATCTCTGCAAGTGATGTGAGGACTCTAAAACTTCACCTGAGCCTCCCTCGGCATATGGGTGAGTAGATAATGGCTGAATTTTCATTTTTGGGTGCACTATCCCTTTAAGTTAGAGGAACTCAGGTGCCGCCTCAGAGGATCATCCAAGAAGTACCACAGGATATGGCAGCCCTTCTTAGACTATTTTCATAATGCCTGTCCCTCAGCTAGTTTCATGAATTAAGCATTTAAAGCCCCCCATTTTACTTTCTGGTGAAGTCTGCACCCCAAGCGGACTCTTTGGAAGTCTGCAGAAAGTCCACTTTAGGCCCCATGTGGACTGGATGAATTGTGGAGCCATCCATACTTCCAGACCTCTCAGGAATGAGCCTACAAAGTTTGTGAGTCTGCAAGTGCGGTAATGTCTGGATATTCGGACGCAGTGCCCCCCCATCAGGACAATGTAGCACATCACACCACACAAACTGTTCAGGAATGACTGGAGGAACGTGACAAAGAGCTCAAGGCATCGACCTGGCCTCTAAACTACCCAGATCCCAATCTGATCCAGCATGTGTGGGACATTCCAGTACCCCAGAGGTACCCCATATCCACGGTGGGTCTTCTTAAATCTGACATGGCTCTGATCCTGTCCAGACATGGACACAGGACCTCGGGGGGTGTCCTGTAGTGTCTCCACCAGGGCGTTGGTGGCCGATTCTTGAGTCCTGTTGGTTGTGAGGTGATGCTCACATCAGATTGAGATCTGGGGAATTCGGAGGTCAGGTTGATGCCTTGAGCAAACACGCTCAAAGACAACTCTGGACTCAACATATGGTAGCAACGTGTTGGATGTCTCTGTCTTGATCTTTTCATCTCATTCATCTGAAATGTGTTTGACATTTTCATACCTCACTCATAACAACACATTAACTAACATTTAACTTACCGGTTGGGCCACAGACAAAAGAAAACAGCAGCTTGACTTTAGCCAAAACTACCAGTTAACAGAAGTCTGACCTGAGTGAGATGTTGCTGTTGGGTAACAGGAGGTTTGGTTTATCAGTGTCAGATCGGTCGGACCGCCGTGTTTAACTATAAATCTTTAAATGTTCTTGGTCTGAAAGAACTCTATGTTCTTCCTTCACCACTGCAATCTGATGACAGTGAGAAAAATGCAGAATAAGTTAGTCATGTGACCCCTAAATGTAACTTTGTGGTCATGTTGTGATCAAATGTCTGACAGCAGCAGATGATTTAGTCAAAAACTTCCCAAAAGACACTGATGTTTTAATGTTTGTTTCTCAGGAAGTGGTTTGAGGAGTTTCTGTGGATCTTGTGATGTTTAGTATTTCAAATGTTCCTCAGACAGTAAATAAGACTCGTCAGGCCGGCTGGTCGTTGTGAACATTTATTGGTTTTGTTTGAATTTAAACACTAAAAAGTACCCGGTCTTATCGACTAAAACAGGTAATAATAAAAAAAAAAAACAAAAACACACCATCACCATCGCCTTCATCATCACATCATCATCATCATCATCATGGCAGACAGTTTGTAACTTGGCATAAATGACATTCAGACGGTGCTGCTGTGATCAACACGGGGCACAAAACAGCCAAACACACAGTGAATATTCTGCTTCACTGGTTCAAAGATGGAAAACGTTGGCAAAAATTCACTCAAAACTGACATTGGTCACAAAATGGTCAAAGGTCGTATCAATTCTGAGTTAATTCACATTAACGGACGATGGAAACGTCCATGTCCTGACTGAAGGTTGAACTGTCCGCCACTCATCTCCAGCACTTTTGACATTTCATTATTCAACAGGAAACTGTTAGATTTGGTTTTATTAGACTACTGAATTACAAAAAAGGGCACATTTTATTTTTATCAAAAGTATTGCATTAAATCCAAACACTGAGATGAACAAGTCATTTCATAGAGATTATACAGGGAGTAGAAATCAATATTTCAAACAATAAAAAGGCTTCAAACATCAGGTTCCCTGTGTCGTTACAAACATACAGTCTGCTCAAAGTAAAACAGTTAAAAACAGTTTCAAACAATAAAACTTAAAAACGTCCCTTTCATCCCCTCATTCCCACGTTTGCATCAAACAATAAGAGGACCTCAGATTGTTCTTTGAGGAACCCCCGTGTGAAGTTCTTTTAACTCCAGCTCTACTTCTACAACCTAACATGAAGGGTTTTATTTAAGGAACCCTTTATTTTAAAGATCCAGGTCCCTCTGGGCTCTTTGTACTGCAGAGTTTATTCCCTTCTTTCGCTCGTCTCTCAGCCTGCGTGTAACGAAGAGGCTGAACTCAAACATCATCTTCTGTCCACATGGGAACCACACAACCACTTTTCAGAAAACTGTGAAGTAAAAATCACAGGAGTAGAGATGTGCTCTGTGATATGTACACATGAATGCCGTCTGAATGCATCTCAGTGCTGAAAATAATATGGAGTGTGACATTTTATACAGAATTTCTTCAGCGTCCGCCTTTAAAGTAACGTTTGGAGAAAAATGCGTCTGGTGGAAAGTGCATTCATCAAAGTCTGATAATTCTGAAAGTCTTGATTACAAGTCTCAAATTTGTATGTCGGAAAAACACGACTTAGTGTCCCTTAATAACAAAAAGATCAATTTTTAGTGCAGTAACTCTCAATTAATACATAAAGATCGTGAGATTCTTTTTTACAAAAGAAATTAATCTCGTCAGGATTATTTTAGCATCACTTAAATACAAGAAATGTTCTCATAATTACAAGATCACATGGTTAGAACACTTTTGATCAACTCGTATCACTGTCAGGGTTAAAATAAGAAATTCTGATTAGGCCCCGCCCACTTGTAGTTTAAATTCAGACAGACACATATAGACAATGGTGTACTTGCTCATCCCTACTGATTATGACTTTGTACTAAGGATGCACGATATTGGATTTTTTTTTTTGTGCCAATATTCGATATATAACATCTTATTTGGCCGCCAACCAATAACGATATATCCACTTTTTAAGATCAAGTCTCTTCAGTGTCTGTAATATTAATTCATTGTGCACAATAAGAAGGCATATTGGCCAATTCTGTTAATTCATGTTAATGTGCATCCCTATTCTGCATCTTGTTACGACAAGAAAAAATATGTTTAATTTTCACCTTGTAAAATCTTGTATAATTTTACAAAAAAGATAATGTTCTCATAATTATTAGATTATTAGATCGCAAGAAATAAAAATAAATAATTAACACAGCAACTGATCAACCCATGTCAATTTCAGGCTTAAATAAGAATTTCGGATCAAGCCCCACCCACTTCAAATTGTAACACCACCCACACTGGAATAAACCCCGCCCACTATGAGTACAGATACAGATAATTTAGTTGGTTAAACAGATACAGATAATAATGTACTCGCTCATCCCTCATAATTCTGTTTCTTCTCTGACAAGAAAAAATCTGATAACGTGTAAAGTTGTAAAAAATAAAAATCTTGTTTCTTTTGAAAAAATTACAAAATCTTTTTTTACAAGTATAAAACTACAAGAAAACAGCTGAACTACAAGATTTTCAGATTTCTTAAACGTACAGTATTTTAACCTTTGTAGTTTTTGCAATCACAAGATCTTATTTTTATGTCAGCGACACCGTTCTGTTTCTTGTAACGAACAAAGATATTAATCTTAATGTCAGAACACAAAAAGGTAAATACATTTATATCAGTATTAATTAATTGGGTCCCTTTATTATATCAATTACAACATTTTATTAACTTTCAGGATTTCTGTTTGACTTTGATGTTGAAATCAGTTTACTTTCTACAGACACCTGATTTCCTGATTTTTGGTGGTTTTATTTGTTCGTAATTTTCCCTTTCTGAGTTTTCAATCAGACGCACATTTCTCTTCTTCTATGGCTTTGTAAACAACAACAGGAGGATCGCTGATTGGTTAAACAAGTCACATGAGGATGATGCTGTCGGGAGGAAAACCTCGTAACCACCACTGTGATGGATATTTTCTGTTGTGTGTGCTGCAGGTGTGCGTTTCACCTGGTTCACCTGGTTCAGCGCAGCGTTCACACCAGGCAGCAATATGAGGAGATACGAGGTTATCCTCCGATAGTAAGCATTTTCTAATCTGTGCACAGTGCAGTGAAGCAGCTGCTGTCCTGTAAAAACCACATAACTGCAGATGTGTTGTGCATTTTTTGGTTCAGAAAGAAAAACATCTGGAATCACCTGATTTTTCTTTATCATGATTTCATTTGATGTTTTTATGCATGTTATATTTTCTGTTTATTTCATTCTAACACTTATATTTTCATCTCATTTTAGTTTTTATTTGCATCGTCCCTTAAAGTTAGCTTTAGTTTGTTTCATCTTTGTTAAGTGCTTCACGTCTTAATTTGAAAAGTGCTCTACAAAGTTGTAACGAGCGACGAGAATTCAAAGAGTTAAAACATCAAATGTTTTTTCATGTTCCATGAAATAATCAGAAAAATCAGCCAGATGTTACAGTTCAGTACGGAAGCTCATTAAGGCCAAGAAAACGAAACTGGAACTGATGAAACCAAAACAGTCAAAATTCTTACAAAGAATCAAATCAGGTTTCCCACAAACTGTTCCGTAACTTTGTAAGTATCTATAATAACTGTTTTTTGTTTTGTTTTTTTGTCCTACTCGCTCTGCGTTTTTCAAATGTATCAGATTCAAACTTTATTCAACTATAATTTCAGCTAGCAGGCAAACATGGCGGAGGAGACGGAATGCAGGGAGATGTAAACATCAACACGTTAGAGCTACGTTACATCAACAGCTACAGAAAAGAATTTACCGTAATATTACACGATGTGGAAAGTTATCCACAGAAGATTACTGTAACAGAAGAATTAATGGCTCTTCAAAACTTTTAATTATTTTTACTAATTCCATGACTTTCCAGGCCTGGAAAACATGACTGTGAAATTTTATCACTTTTCAAATTTTCCATAACTGTGGGAGTCCTATCAAAATATGATATGATGATAACATTTTTTACGTCAAAATTATAAGTAAAAGAATTTCCTAAAAAAAAAATCAATATATTAAAAATAATACTTAATGTTTTATCTTAATTGCATATTAATGACTTGCTGTCTCAAAATTAAGTTATTATTTTGACTCAGTATCTTGTCAGTTTTACCCAACATGATGAGTATTTTGATTTTTAATAGTCTTATTTTGTCTTGGCATAAATGGGCTTCTGTACCTTGAGGTGTCCTGGTGGGCTCTTATAAACCTGTTAAACTACCTACGTTAGTCCTGAAAGACGATAATTTTTTTATTTAAATAAAAAATCATAATCTTAACAGACTCTATTTTTAGACCTGAGAAGTTTGTGTTTTTGCAGTTTTGTGTTTTTTTTTTACGTGACAGCTACGTTTTTTTTCCTTTTTCTTTTTTTAAAGCTGAGACGCATCCAAAATGAACACAGAAAAAATCAAAACACATTATTGTAGTCAAATATCAATGCCGTACATCTACTGAGGTAATGAGGTCTGTGTGGAAAGTAACAAAGGAAACACTTGAAATGTTTTACAAGAGAAATAAAATGAGGTATGTGAAGACGTGTGGAGGCTGAAAGTGCAACACATCAGATCAACGCCAGGCGCTCGGCAGTTGCAGAAAAGTGGTTGGGTAATTCAGATGTTAGCGAAGCAGACAGTTAGCTTTAGTTATCGAAGCAGCGTTCAGCGGCAGGACATTAAACAGTTCATTATTAATCATCAATTTCATGATGCACCAAAATCAAACCCACCTTTTTTTTCTCATTCCTGATATTTTTAATCAGTGGTCTGATTTTTGTTTCACGTCGTCTTGAACGTGAACGACTCTCCTCCACAGCAAATCAAACTCTGGCCACTCGGCAGAGTTTTGGCTTCATATTGCTTCAATTTCTTTTTTTGTTCAAACAAAGTAAAAACAGAATCACTAGAAAAAGTTGGAGTTTGCACATTTACAAAGCGTAAAAACGATGGAGACGTCTGATCATGCTGAAGCATCGCGGCGCAGAAACAACACGGACACATGAATATTCTGACATTGATCTGTTTTCTGATCCTTCTGTTCGTCACCATCCCTCCATCGCCTCCTGCACCACCCATGCCACAGAGGATTAAGAACGACAGAGACTCTGAACACAAACACGAAGGTCGGAATGATTCAATAAAAACCAGACAGGATATGTACGGAGTCCAGAGCGTGTCGGACCGTTGAGATTCATTTTTCATTATTTCAGATTTTCTGTTTTTGATGCGAGTTTTTGGACAGAATGAGTGAAGCTTTTAAAGACACAAGTTTAAACTCTGAAGATATTTGTCATTGTTTTGTACTTTTACTTGTCTCGTTTTTGTCTCAATGGAAGCTCATTTCTGCCGCATGAAAAGTTAGGGATGATAAAAAAAATATGAAATAATTAGGGGTGGGGAAAAATCAATACAGCAAAGTATCGCAATATTTTGCATGACAATCTTGTATTTTTTTACATTATATTAATTATTAATATTGCTCATACAAATTAGCAAACTTTTTGTTAAAAAGTCTTTTACAGTGAGGTGAACAAACTGAAAACTTTGACCTATAAAATAAAACAGATGACAAAGATTTTTCTTTGGGGTTAAAATTTGCAGTCAAAAAAGATAATAAACATACATTTTCACAATATTCAGCATATCACTTAAAGTTAAAAATCACAATATTGAATGTGACTTACGTATTGTGTTAATATCGTATCGTAGGGAAATAATGTGTTGAAAAATGTTTACGTCTCATAATTTAATCTTTTTCTTTCCATTCATTTCTCAAAATATTTTTTGTATATATAAAAAAAAAATAATAATTTTTTTTCTTTCATTGGCAGGAGTGAGCTTCCATACAGATCGAATTATTTAAGAAAAGAAAAAAAACTTGATAATTGAGGCCAGAGAAACATCGTCGGTAGATTAAAAAAAAAAAAAAAAAGTTAAAACGAGAAAACGTGCGGTTGTGTTTTTCTGTGTTTCATCTTAATGAACTGATTTTTTTTTTTCCCGGACAGACTGAACGAACAGTTTGACTCTGAGACCTAAATACAGATATCCGTTTCTGATTCATGTCTGCTACATCGATGGAGGCTGATAAAAAAAAAAAATCATACAAATAAAAAAATATACTTAAAATACTAAAATGATGAAATAAATAAAAATTTAAATTTATTACTTAATAATTCTTATTCATTTTTTTCTAAAAAAAAAAAAAGATTTAATAATTTGGAGTAAAATATCTCAAAAAGTTTTTTATCTTGTAATTACGCATCACGAGGTCCGTGTTAACATCTCCAACTTTAATTAATCTGTGTACGTTAAACTTTTAGTCGCGGAGTGTTTTTATATTTCCTACTCTTAACATCGCTCTACATTTGTTTGTTTGTTTGTCTGGCAGTAACAGGCTTCCATACGGAGTAGAATAAATAATGTAAAGAAAACATTAATTAGTTTGAGCCAGAGAAACAAATAAAAACGTGTGTGCGGTTGTGTTTGTGTTTTACGGAGGTATCTGTGTGTTACCGCGAGGTTACTGAACCGGACCAAGAACGAGGGATGAGGAAGGAAGGAAGGAAGGATGTAAGTAAAGAAAGAAGGAGGCAGAGGAGTAAACCGTCACAGATTTAAAAACCTTCCTCTTTCTCTTTGCTCTCGTTTCATCATCATCATCATCATAATCATCATCATCAGTTCTGTCTGAAAGTAAAAACTGTACAAACGTAAAAAGGATACAAACTGCTCAGATTCACATTCAACAAGTCCAAAACAAATATATCGATGCCACTGACAAAGTTTTTCTTCCTTTGTTTGTGTTTTTACAGAGTAGTGATGCGAGGACAGAATCCTCAAAGATCGTCCGATAAATGTAAAATCTGACGACAAAAATTCACCTGACGACGACCTACGGAAGCCCAGAACGGCCACACATGCAATTATTTTTCATGCAGTTATCGGGAACGGGTTAATTTGTGTCGAGTCTTGAGGAAACAAAAGGTTGATGTGTCGACGTGACGAGAGTGAGTTTTGTTTTTTAAGCGAGCTCATGGGATTATAAGGTTTCTGCAAACGACGGTCCGTGATCTTAAGTAAACATGTTTTCGTTGTCTCCACAGATCTGACGTTTGTTTCCTCCAGAATCAACGTAAATAATTCTGATGTCATGAGAAAATAAGCTTCTTCATCTCGGGATAACGAAATACTTGACTCATGATCCTGAGACTCCAAAAACAAACTGCAGCGTGGCCTCTCTGGGCTTCCGTATTAATCCGAGAATGGTTTCCATTAATAAAAACAGAGAAATAAACTGTTTGTCTGTTTCTTGAGAGAAAACCATAAAAGGGCACTTTAAAAACAAACAGGTAGAAAAGTCGATCTTCCTGCGAGTCCACGTTTCACATATCCAACACGAGAAACAAAAAACCACGATCATCACCACCAGAGAGGAAACAGGAAACAGGAAACGATGCTCCGACCGTTCAACTGCTGCGGCCGCCACCTCATCGTGAAAACAGAAACCTCACCTGCAGCAGCTGGAGCTCGTTCCCTCGCCACGAGGGTATTTTACAGGAGGAGAGGATGAAGAAGATGAAGGAGGAGGAGGAGGAGAATGTACAGCAGGAGGAGTCTGTCGTGTTTTCCCTTCGATGTGACGCCTCCTCGTCAGTTCTTCCTCCAATCAGATTCTTTATTTTACCGTCTTCACTTGTTTGATTAAATCCACTCAGACGAGTTGATCCGGTCCAGAGTCGGGATTTAAAAATATTTTGTTGAATTCAAATCTGTGAATCTCTTATTGAATCTGTTCAGCTCACAACATTTGTAATTAAAGTTTAAATTATTTTAAAGAACCTGAAAACTTTGAATCAGTGTCTTTAGATTTTAATAACTTCATACGTGTCGTATTATAATTACGAGACGCTGAGTAATTTCACAAGAAAATGACGCCATTTTCTTTTTGTTCAGGAGAAATCAAACATTTGTGCAAAAATCTGACTTAAAATGAGAGTTTATGTTTCTCCTTCTCCTTGGCACCACTGGGCTTCCGTACATATCAGATGAACTGAGCAGAAAACATCTGTTTGTTTTTGTTTGTTGTTTTTCTGCCTTCGTTTCCTTATGAACTCCATTTTGGGGGTTTTGGACAGAATTCATTATTAAATATTGATCTTTGATTTATATCCGGTTCATTAATCCATCCAATTTTCAACCAGAAAAGAAAAAAAAATAGGAATCACAGAAATAAAAACAGACTTTGGGAATAATAAGTAAAAATTCTGACTTTAAAAAACATTCAGAATTATTATTTTCTATCAGTTTCAAACTCAAAAACAGAGCTGATTATTTGATATCAGGACGTTGCAGCTGAGCTTTGATCTCATTGGTCGACAGCAAACTGTCATCACATTTTCATTTCCTACGTGTGGTGAAATGAGCGAATCTGGAGGAGGAAATCGGGTTTTAAATTATCGTCACAAACTGAATGTTTTGATCCTAAAAATAAAAGTTCAGTAAGAGATTCATCAGCGTCTGAACTTTGAGAGTCTCGGTGTTGACATGGAAACGGATCCAAATCAGAAGCGTCTGGTGATAATCGATCATGTGACCTTCCTCCAGAGATGATTGGCCGTCAGGTACCGATGACGGGAGACAGACAGAGTCTTTAACGTGAGGCCTTTTTAATCTGGAGTAAATCTTTATTTTTACATCTTTTAATTTCCTCTTTTTGTTTTCAGGTTCTTTATCAAACATTTTATTGATCGTTGTTTGTTTTTGTTCTGCTCAACTTTGTTTTTAATCCTGTTCGGTGAAACTTTTTCAGTTTCTGTGATTCAATAAAAATTATTTTCTTATTGTCTGAAATGATTTCATAAAACGTTTCCAAAAATAAATCAATCATATGAACGAATCTCTTTGTATTCATCATGTTTTAAGTGCTGCTACTAAAGTCGACTGATCGATAACTGATCATTTGTTTCAATCATTAATCAAAGGAAAGTGTGGCTCAGTCTCTCACACACTGACTGATTAATAATAAATGATGGAGAGGTGACTGAATGTTAAAATAAATAAATTATTTTCAGGCCTGATGATGAAGTTCTGCCTGGAGTCGACTTCCTGTTGTGTTTCAGAATAAAAGCATCTTTGAGTCTAAAACCTGTCTGACGTCTGTGTGTTCGATTCGTTTCCCTTTCATGCTCTGTGGCTCTGGTCTGGTCTCAGGTCTGTGGATCCTCCTCTGGTTCTTTGTTCAGATTTGTTGGATTCTGTTGAAGCTCCTTTGTTCCCGTTTCTATTTCCAGTTCAGCCCAGGTGACCCCGACCGCCCGCTCCGTCCCCGCTGGGTTCAGGGCCAGCTCAGGTCCGGTTCCCGGGGTGCTGGGTCCGGGCGTGGCTGTGGAGGCGAGTCGCCGAGGAGAACCTCTTCCCGCAGTCTGAACAGCGTAAAGCCGAGGTGGTGTTGCCGGGCGGAGACGAAGGGGACGAGGTTTCGGCGGCGGCGTTTTCGGCGACGTGAGTCTGGCGATGAGCCTTCAGGAGAGACATCCGACTGAACCTCCGACCGCACTCCTCACACTCCGACCACACCCTCCGCCTCTTCTTCTGCACACACATGACACAACATGTCATCTACACACAACATGTCATGTACACACATGTCATGTACACACAACAGACATTTGAAGTCAGCACTGTTGAGTGTATGGCTTTAGCTTCAGATCATGTGGAGCTGTGACTCAACAGGAAGTGTCTGTGTGGACGCCGTCTTTTTTTATCTTTATAGGAATTATTTTATTTTACTGACTCATGTTTTATAAATGTGTCAGAAAAATGTTTTTATTTCACTTTCACATTAAAATAAAACTGTTTGATGAAACATTTTATTTATTCAGTTATTCATCCTTCCTCACCTTCCTCCCTTTGTCCTCCTCCTCTTCTTCTTCCTCTTCCTCCTCCCCCTCCTCCTCCCTGGTTGCCAAGGGTGACGGGCGGGTCCGACCAGGCGGTTCGACGCCGTCTCTGCGGTCGATGGCGCCTTCAAGCGCCAGAGCTGCCAGCGTCTCCTTGGCGGCGGCTTCCTCGTCGTCGTCCTCCAGCAGCTGAGACGGCAGAGTCAGGAGACGATGAAGCATCGAGGCAGAGGAGCGACGACCTGAAGGACCTGAACACAGAGGGACCAGAGAGACGAGTCAGGACTCTGATCCAACAGGTCACCTCACTAACTGATCTAAAAGTAGTTAGAGTAAAAGTATTTAGAGTAAAAGTATTTTGAATAAAAGTAGTTAGAGTAAAAATAGAGTAAAAGTATTTAGAGTAAAAGTGTTTAGAGTAAAGTAGTTAGAGTAAAAGTATTTAGAATAAAAGTATTTTGAATAAAAGTAGAGTAAAAGTGTTTAGAGTAAAAGTATTTTGAATAAAAGTCGTTAGAGTAAAAGTATTTAGAATAAAAGTATTTAGAGTAAAAATAGAGTAAAAGTGTTTAGAGTAAAGTAGTTAGAATAAAAGTATTTAGAATAAAAGTATTTTGAATAAAAGTAGTTAGAGTCAAAGTATTGAGTAAAAGTGGTTAGAGTAAAAGTATTTTGAATATAGGTAGTTAGAGTAAAAGTATTTAGAGTAAAAACAGAGTAAAAGTATTTAGAGTAAAAGTGTTTAGAGTAAAGTAGTTAGAGTAAAAGTATTTAGAATAAAAGTATTTTGAATAAAAGTATTTAGAGTAAAAGTGTTTAGAGTAAAAGTAGAGTAAAAGTGTGTAGAGTAAAGTAGTTAGAGTAAAAGTATTTAAAGTAAAAATAGAGTAAAAGTATTTAAAGTAAAAGTATTTGGAGTAAAAGTATTTAGAGTAAAAGTATTTAGAATAAAAGTATTTTGAATAAAAGTAGTTAGAGTAAAAGTGTTTAGAGTAAAAGTAGAGTAAAAGTGTGTAAAGTATTTAGAGTAAAAGTATTTAAAGTAAAAATAGAGTAAAAGTATTTAGAGTAAAAGTATTTAAAGTAAAAGTATCTAGAGTAAAAGTACTTAAAGTATTTAGAGTTATAAGTCAGAGTAAAATGATTTAGAGTAAAAGTATTTAAAGTAAAAGTATTTAGAGTAAAAGTACTTAAAGTAAAAGTAGTTAGAGTAAAAGTACTTAAAGTAAAAGTATTTAGAGTAAAAGTGTTTAGAGTATTTAGAGTAATAGAGTAAAATAATTTAGAGTAAAAGTATTTAGAGCAAAAAAGTTTGGAGTCAAAGTATTTGGAGTAAAAATACTTAGAGTAAAAGTACTTAAAGTAAAAGTATCTAGAGTAAAAGTACTTAAAGTATTTAGAGTAATAGAGTAAAATAATTTAGAGTAAAAGTATTTAAAGTAAAAGTATTTAGAGTAAAAATCTTTAGAGTAAAAGTATTTAAAGTTAAAATATTTAAAATCAAAGTATTTAGAGTAAAAGTAGTTCGAGCAAAGGTAGTTAGAGTAAAGGCACTTAAAGTAAAAGTAGTTAGAGTAAAAGTATTTAAAGTAAAAGTATTTAGAGTAAAGGCAGTTAGAGTAAAAGTTCGAGTGAAAGTATTTAAAGTAAAAGTATTTAGAGTAAAAGTAGTGACAGGTTGACTGTGCATTCACACCAAAAGTGTCATAAGCGGCCGGCAGCCATTCATTTTCAGTGTACGTTTGCTACGAAGGGCGTCAGGTGTGTCGGCTGCAGCGAGCGGCGCGATGCCAGCGACCAGAGCGTCAAGTAGAAGTTGAGAGAAGCTGAACTTTATGCAAATGAGCAGCGCCGCTGCCGAAGCAGCAGCCAATTGCAGACCGGGATTCGGGTAGGGAGGTCTGGGCTCTCCCGGAGCTGTACGAGCCGGTGAAATTCACTGTGGAGTTGCTGTTTGCAGGACTCTGTGGACCCAGACGGCCCGACGGCTCCGGGCCCCGTGTTTCCTCAGCTAATACGCAGATGCAACAAAGGAGGCTTCCGAAAGCGTGATTAATGAGCTCCCGCTTATTTACCACCAATTACATCTGTCAGTGGTCCTACGCGCCAACAGGAGAGTAAAATCATAATTATAAAGGACTCATAAAGGTTATGTGACTGTGTTTATTAGCGTTATTTTAACTGTGCAATGAAAGTCATGGATAATACAAAGTGAAGACATAAATGATATTTGTTCAAGTGAACAGCCGTGTCAGCCTTGATGGACACATCTGCAGCAGCCGGCCCCGCCCCTTTGGCCGCTGCAAGCGCCTGCTGGAGCTGCTGCCAGGCAGCGCGATGCCAGCGACCTGAGCGACCGCTGGCGCTCATGACGCTTTTGGTGTGAACGCACACAGTAAGGCTCAGAGCTCCTTCATGTTCAGGTTGGTAGGGTAATGATCACAGGGTCCAGCAGGGGGCAGCGAACAACAAACTCCACACATTCATATTTTCAGGGCCTGAAGCAAGAAAAAATCCTGTGCCTGAAACTTTTTTAGGGCCTTCTGCGCTAGGGGGGTCCAGGGGCATGCCATTAATTTCTCATCTGCTCAAAGATTTTGTTGACAGTTGATGTAAAAGTCATTTTAGTCATTTTCATACATAAATGTATATTAATCTATTTTTATTCCATCTTTCTATGTATGTCATATATTTTTATTTTATACATTTTTTTACGTTTTATTTGTATGTAGCATTTTTTCCATATATTTATCTAAACATGCTTAGATTTTTTTATTTTGGTATCTGATTGTACACTTATTGTTTTTATTATTTCTAGTTTAATTTCTTGTACTTTAAATCTGTGTTGTCTTTATTCTACTGTGACTCGTTCTTATAGTTATTATTATATTAATGAATTTTCATTTTATATATTTTGTTGCTCTTGTATTTTTTCATGTGTAGATCTGACTTTCTTATTCTCTCAGATTATCTGTATTTTTAAGTTTTTGTTCATATTTGTTTAATAAAAATACTTGTGGATATTTTTTTAGTTTCGCAGTTTGTTTACACATTTCTTTAATGTGACGTTTTTGTTTTTCTCCACTGTTTTGTTTATATTTTGACTTTGTGTTGTTCAGCTCTACTGTCACCTGTTATTAGCAAGTTTTTAGCCCTTCTACATTTTTGTCGTAAATTGTAAATAGATTTTAAGTATTTATAATATTAAATAATATTTTTTT